TGAGCACCCTGCTAAATTCTTTATATATAAATTACCTCATCTAATCCTCATAACAATAGCCTTTAATAATAGCTTTATGGGTGCTGCTATTATCTCTATTTTAGAGATGAAAAGTCTGAGGTTCAGCATATTTAAAATATTCTCCCCTGCTTTAAATAGTTGCTCCATTTACCCAAAAATGAATCCAGGTAATTTGACTCTGGATCCTGCCCTCTTGCCACTATATTCTGCTGCTTCTTTGCTCTACTGTGCCTTTCTCCTGAAAGTCTCACTGATTCAGCCGTTCTCTGGCTACCAGCACACAAAATTACATATCTGAGCTCTAAGAGTAGATGGATTTGCACTGAAGTCCTGTGACCCCTGCTTGCTGTGTGACTTTGGACAAGGAACCTGACCTTCTCTGCCTGTGATTCCTCATTAGGGAAAAAAACAGATACTAGTTACATTTCAGGTTGGTTATAAGGTTTCAAATGAAATAATATTAACGACCAAGAAAAAAAATGAAAACTTAGCTTTACCCATGTAAATTCTACAAGCTTAAGCACTATTATTATTATTCTACTCCAGTATGAACTCGCAAACATTTTCACTTTGTTTCAAAAGATTTCTAACTGGTCTCTACGACTCGACCCCATAAATTAATTTTTTCTATTGTTGTCAGAATTATTTTTCAAAAAGCTCAATCTGACCATGCCACTTCCCTGCCTGAAAGTCCCTGATGTTCCTTTTCTTGTGGGAATAGCCTTTGATGTCATATTGGAGCATTCACTTAAAATGGAATCAACTTCTTAAAACTGGAATGACATCTGCTACTCCTTTCTCTTTTATTTCCTGCTCCTCTCTCAAAAGAAACCTAGTTTTCATAAACATCAGATTATTCTTTCATGGACTCACCAGTGCTTTTGATGCCTTGGGGCCTCTTTGTGCTTCCCTTTTCACATAGAAAACTCCTACTTGTCCTTCAAAATCCAGCTTTTCACCATGGTTTCCCCTAGATCAGAATCTAATACTGCCATATCCCAATCCCTATGCTACTGAAAGTACTTTAATCCCAATATTTATCAAACTAATTTTGCAATTACTGAATTGCAATGACTTTCTCCAGGGAAAAGTTCACTTCTGAATAAAAATCAGTCTAATCTGGTGCATCGTACTGTGTCTGGTATATTGTAGGCACTTGATATATATTGCTGAAATAACTGAAAGTGGATTGTTCTTACAGCCTACAAAGTTTTTTCACATACTTATTTCATCACATGATCAGGATATACAATCATAAGATTGGATACAAGAGGCTGTGTTTTTTTTTTTTTACTCTTATTAAAAACTGAGACTTTATTAAATCTCTTCAACATTTCCCCCTAATTGCAGAGTTTTAAAAATATACAAAATAACACCTATGCTTTAAAAAGCTTAAGTGAGCACATGGTTCATATTTTAAGAACGAGGTGATTATAATAATCTACATAATTACCTGTGGGCATTGGTAAATACATTGCAGCTTGATAACTGTGCTCCACTTCAAGTTCAGATTAGAATGTTCCTTTATTTTGTTAGGGAAGCAGCTATTTTCAAGTGTCACGTTAAAACCTGAAATGAAAGGAACTCTTTGGAATGACAGTAGCATTCCTGTGTCTTTGTAGTTTCTATCCATTTTTGTTTTTAATGTGGCAAGAACAATTCAGTGGTCTATTATTTCTCCGAATTCCCTGAAAACAATTGAGCAAAAGTAACCTAGAGCAGTGTTTATCAAAATGTAAGTAATGATTCATTTAGTGGCACAGAAAATCAATTGTGTAATCACAGCAATTTAAAAAATGAAATGGCTTAGGATATTCTAGAATGTGCTGCATGATGTAAGGGCATGACTTCTTGTGAAATCTTCATTTCAATTGTGTGTTTACTGGCCTGGGAAGTAAAATATATTTCCCACTGTGGCATGTAAATCCCACTAGATTGGTCCAAAAAGTTTGAAAGACAATGCCCTATATGACCTAGCAATATTGCTCAAAGAGTGGGATCAATTCCAAATATCCACTTAATAAAATTATTTTAATAACCTGATAACCCTGTAACCCTGTCCCGGTTGGGTCCCCAAACTCCAGTTATATCATCATAACCCCCACACAAAACCTGATTCATTCACTGGAGTTGGCTCCAAATAACATTTAATTACTTCAAAAAAATCGAACCTACTTCCAAAAAATTGAACCTATGTCTAAGAGATGTACATTTACTATTACAGGAACTGTGCAGAAGAATTTGCCAAAAATTCTGAAGTCAATACAACAAACAAACAAGCAGTTTGAAAAAGGTTTTAAGTGAAACAACATCAATAAAGTTAGATTCAGCTCACTATATCCCAGGACTACTCCTGAAGTTCTGTTTTCATACCATTACATTTAATTATAACTATTGCATTTTTTTTCCTGCCACTGAGACTCTACCCTTATCATAGAGGAATCTTATTTTATTATTTCTGTATTCTCAAGTGCCTTTATATATGTATTGTCTAGAACATAATAGACATTTAACAAATGTTTGTCAAGGAGACAGTACTCATTTGGATAAATATATGTCCTGAAACTTAATGAGTGACTGACTCAATGTTGTAGCATATTCTAAGGCTATTCTTGCTTCTTGCTCACTTAAAGAATATACTTTTCTAAGACTCTCAGTTCTATGAAATAGGGCTATATTGGAGTCTGAAATGCACAAATTTTAAACAGTTTTTGATGTCAGAATATCATGATTGCAAGCAGAGAAATAAGCACTCTCTTACCATGCTTACAATGGGAAAAAGTGAGTGAGGTAGTTTGGAAATGCACATCCCAAATCTTTCAATATGCAGAATTTATTCTGTGCAAAAGTAAAGGTCTTCAAATATGGACACAAGGATATTAAATTCGATGCTGTTTACAACAGATAAAAATGTCTACCACCTGAAGATTAGTGAGGTATATCATGATAATTCTTACAATTGAATAATGTGCAGCCATGAATAATAATGATGTTTAATTACATTAGCATTGAAACGGGCTCAGAGGATATACTGTAAAAGACAGGAAACAGAGCGATAAACTACAGAATATCATTTAAATTTTTTATAAGGTGAAATTCATATAACAAAACCAGCCAGTTAAAAAGGAACAATTCAACAGCCGTTTTAAATACATTCACAATATTTGGCAACTGCCACCTCTATTTATTTCCAAAACAGTTTTATTGCTCTGAAAGAAGTCTATATCCATTAAGCAGTTGTTTTCATTACCCCTTCCTTATGGCCCCTGGTAATTCCCAATCTTCATTCTGCTCTATGGATTTGCCTATTTTGGATATTTCATATGAATGGAATTATATATTATGTGGCCTCTATGTTTCTGGCCTCTTTCATTTAGTGTTTTGGAGGTTCATCTTCCTTGTAGCAGTACTTGTTTTCACAGTTGAATAATATTTCATTGTGTGTGTGTTTGTGTACGCACACACATATTTCACAATTTATCTTTTTATCACCTTTGATGAAAAGATGGATATTCGTAGCTGTTATGAACATAGGTATAGTGCTGAACATCATTTTAATGATACAAGTGTTAGCAGAGAATTAAATTCAAGAATATTAGCAACCATTTTTTTGGGTGGAGGGATAATAGGTGAATCATTTTATATTATTTAGAACATTGGGCCCTAGAATTAATTGGACCAGGCTTCATTCCCCACCCCCCACCCCCCAGCCCCCATTTTTGGGGATTAAACCCAAGGTACTTCATCTATGACATCCTCACAGCCCTTCTTTATTTTTTGAGACAAGATCTCACTAAATTGCCCAGGCTGGGCTGAAATTTGTGATCCTCCTTACTCAGCCTACTGAGTCACTGGGATTACAGGCGTGTGCCACGGTGCCTGCTGACTCCATTTCTTCATGTGTAATACGAAGAAAATAATACCTACTTAATTGGATTATTGTAAAAAGTAAATGGAATATATGTCATTAATTAGAAATATGTGGGGGGCTGGGGATATAGCTCAGTTGGTAGAGTGCCTGTCTCGCAGACACAGGCCCTGGGTTCAATCACCAGCACCACACAAGAAAAAAAAAAAAGTGGGGCACATGGTAAGTACTGAATTCATAGTATGCTTTAAAAAATTGTATTTTTGTTCATACTTTCTGATTATGTTTATTTAAAACTTTTCCTCCTACTGGATTACAATAGTAACAGTTAAATAGTATTTGTGTGTGTGTTTATGTGACAGAGACAGATAGATTTGAATGCTATACACTTAAGAAGCATGTTCCCCTTGCTGATGGTCATTTGACTACTGAATTGTTCTGGTGACCTCACTTTGATTATAGTCCTATAATGTAACTCTTCCTTCAAATTTCAATTCAAATAATGTTCCAAGTACGTATTTTCCAGTATTCTGCCACAGCGACTCTTCCCTTCTAGGCTCGGTTCAGCATCGCTTTAGATGCAACCACCCAGTTTCTAGTCTCAGCAACTGTGCGACAGGTACTGAGGGACGGTGGAAGGGCACAGGTTTTCTCATACATACACATCTAGAAAAATACATCAGGATCAGGTTTTACCACGTGTATGAAATTTTTCCCCAGGATAGCCCTCCCTTTGCTTCCTAGAAAACCACATTTTATCTCTCATTGTAAATTCAAACTTTGCCAAATATGCACACCTTGAACACTCAGAAGAGTTGCAGTCCGGGGCCCGCCGGGGCTGCGGGGAGGCTCCCTGCTGCCTCCCAGGGTTTCGGAAGTCAGAACTCGCACCTGCAGTCCCCGAGCCGACCTAGCGCGGGAATTTCGAGGGGCGCCGGGGAGGACTGCAGTGTTCGTGGGGAGGCCGCGCGGGGACAGGTGCTGCGGGCTTCGAGTCCCGCGAAGGGGCCGCATCTCCGGAGCACGACCCCGGGCGTTGGCTAAGGCCTTGCAGAAGAGGAGCCAGCCGCCCGCCCAGGTGTGGGGGAGGCGGCGCCGGGCCTGCCCGCGGACCTGAGAGCCGAGGGCGCGCCGCTCGCGGGGGCTGGGGGCGCGAGGGGAGGTGCCGCGAGGTGGTTCTCGGCTGCTCCTCAGGTTTCCTCTCCCGCCCGTCGGCCGGCTGCTGGCTGCCGCGCCGCCTCCCTCCCTAGCTCCCTCCCCTCCGCAGCTGGGCCCACTCTGCGGCCTCGGCCCGCCTCGCCCCCGCCCCGGCCTCCTCCCGCTTTCTCTCTCCGCTTCCCCTCGAGCTTCCGAGGAGTCCGCAGCCGCGGGGCGCCCGGGAAGATGGCGGCGGCGGCGGCTGGAGACGGCGGCGGCGAGGGGGGCGCGGGCCTGGGCTGCGCGGCGGGGCCGGGGGCGCGCGAGGGCTCCGTGGACCCCGCGCCCGCGGGGCTGCACCCGGAGGAGGTCGCCGCGAGGCTGCAGCGGATGCGGCGGGAGCTGAGCAACCGCAGGAAGATCTTGGTGAAAAACCTGCCCCAGGACAGCAGCTGCCAGGTGTGGGGACGGTGCTGGGGGGGCGACGAGACAGACTCTGGAGAAAAGCTGCCTCCGAGGTGTCGGGGCAGGAGGAGGAGGGGATCGGCGCAGAGTGCCCAGGACGGCCCCTAGCTTTTACAAAGCTCTTGGGGTTTCCAAGCCTGCAGACAGACCGCCAGGGAGGGGAGCAGAGTAGGAAACTGAGGCTCGGAGCGGCGGCGTAGTGGCTCGTCCAAGGTCACCGGGATAGGTGGCGGCTGCCGCCAAGAGTGTTCCGCTCTTTTCTTCTCCTGCAGCCCTTGAGGTAGTTGCAGATGAAGGAGAGTGGAGGTGAGCTATGGAGCTCGCATTTGGGGGCCTGAGTCTTTGGGAACACCTCCAGAGGGGCAGAAGGTCCCGCGCGGGGACCTCAGGACTAGGTGTGCCTTGGGGGTGGGGGGCGGGATCACGGGAGAGCTGGGAGTGAGTTTTGCTGATGCAGAAGCACTTGACCAAGTTTGTATGAAACAACTTTGTCTCCTCAGTTTGCTAAGGCCCCAGAATAGGGAGGTTGTTACTGAGCTTTGAGGAGCCTTGCAGCCGGGTTGTGCCAAACCAAGTAGGGAAAGATTTGTTCCTCAGTGATTTTGAATGAAGCTTTAAAACTATGCTACTCTGTGTCTTTAATCCAGAAACTCTAAACCTATTTCACTTTTTTTTCTTTCCTGATTGTGAAAGTTACAAATTGCTTTAAGAGAGCTGGAAAATCAGTGAAGTATAAGGGGGAAAAATAGAAATATCCCATAGTATCTAAAGATAACCATTTTTAACCTAGAATATCATCCTTTCTTTTCTTATGCATATGTGTACATATGTATTTTGTTTTATCTGAAATTTGAGATAATTTCTTCAATTCTTTGGGGGTTCTTAATTCTCTGATATTCACATATTTCACACACCACATACACACACACAAACACACATATAACTTGAATTTATATGGATTGTGATGAGAGGTCCTGACAGTTGCAGATTTGGGGGTATGGAGGTGGGGTCTCATGTAGTTCTTCCTGTAACCTGATGCATGGGATTGCGAGGATTCCTTTCTCAAAATTGCATGGCAGTTCTTCCATGCCACCCACAGAATAATGAGACTAATGCCCTATTATTGTGTTAGACTTTAGAGAGCCACTCACAATAAATATGAGCCTATAACCTTTATAACTCATATGCATGTGGGGATTTCTGTTTCAAAATGCAAGGTCTGTTGTTAATATTGTCTGTTGATATTGTGTGTCTTGTCCCTCTTTCAACTTTTTTCATTCTACCTTTGTCCACTTCTTGTCTGTCAGATAATGTTTTGCATTACTATGAATAAAGACACCTGCAATGACCTGATTTGGAGAGAGAGGCTTTAGAGAAGCAGATGGCATTTCTAAAAAACAAATTAAAGAAATAACAGCTCTGTGTGTAGATAATCTAGAAGATGGAGAATGTTTTGATTTCCTTTGTAGAATGTCAACTATTTTTGTCACAGCATTTTCTTGCATTAATTCAACATATATTTAAATGCAAAATTCAAGACAGTTCTATTTTTGCTTTGTTGTTGGTATTTTTTCATTCCCTTTTTCAAAAGCAGTGAAAAACATATCCAAGGGTCTTATAAAAGGAATAATTTCAATTAGATCAGGTGTTATGGGTGGAGAGAGACTCTCTGAGAATTACAGTGTAATTTCAATTTTTTCAGATATTCTTTCTGTTATGAATTTTTGTTTACCTTAAATCTTAGGATTTTCTGTGAAGTAGCAAGCATAAATGAGCAAATAAAATGGGGTTGTGGCTCAGTGGTAGAGCACTTACCTAGTATGTGTGAGGCACTGGGTTCAATTCTCAGCACCATATATAAATAAATGAATAAAGTAAGGCCCATCAACATCTAAAAAAATTTTTTTAAAAAAATGGGTGAACAGGGGCTGGGGTTGTGGCTCAGTAGCAGAGCACTTACCACGGACATGTGAGGCACTGGGTTCGATCCTCAGCACCACATAAAAAAAAATAAACAAAATAAAGATATTTTTAAAAAACTCAACATAATTAAAAAAGAGGGTGGGGTGAACATTCTCCTTGTATAGATGAGTCCATTACTGTCAAGTGAAGTATCTTAAAATTTTTATGCAAAGTTAAATTCTTACACCATGGTTTTTGAGTTCCATCTAAAAGAAAACACACACACACACACACACAGCTTGTTTTCAGGCTTGTCCTAGCATTTATATTTTCTCTATAATTTCCATAATGCTTTTAATATTTCTGATGTGGTTTTGAAATATATGAGCAAATCAGTTTTAGGTTATATATAAGGTTTTCTGAGTAGTACTCTTTTTTCCCCCATCACCTTTAGTACTTTACTCCCTTTATTAGTTTTTTGATCACAATTACAACTATTAGTCGTCTGTATTACAAAAATAAGTAAGATAGTGGAGCGCAGTGGTGTATGCTATAATCCTAGTGACTAGGGAGGCTGAGGCAGGAGGATCGCAAATTCAAAGTAGCCTCAGCAACTTAGCAATGCACTTAGCAACTCAGTGAGACTCTATCTCTAAATAAAATATAAAAAGGGACTGGGGGTATGGATCAGTGGTTAAGCACCCTTAGATTCAATCCCCTGTACAAAGGAAGGAAGGAAGGAATGGAGGGAGGGAGGAAGAAAAAGAAAGTCCAAAGTATGGTAATTTCTAAAAGCAATTAAAAGCTGTTCCTATAGATATTTTTTTTGTTGTTGAGAATTGCTGTTTTTATTGGTCCAGCAAAATTAAAATTTACTTCACTTATTTTTTCCAAGTTGTAATATTTTCACCAATATGTTCAGCATGAATTTTTTTTTTGAGTTTTGTCATAATTCAGTTTCCCTTGATAGTTTTAATGTCTGTTTAGTTTTATTTTGTTTCTCAGTGGCTATATTTTGCTGTCAACTTACTAATGAAGACTTAACTTTAATTTTGCTTTGTGCCTCTTAACCAGCAAGGCCTATATTAAATTACCTGTGCCATAACCACAAATTTTCCCTGTGAGATGATTAATGTGGCTTTTATTCAATTATTAAATAATCAGATATCTCAAATACTTAAGCTTCTTTTTCAGAAGAGAGTCTGTGCTTAGTCATTCATTTATTTTACAATTTCACATTAAGGATTGAAGGCGTTCTTAACTCTGATTCTCAGGCTGTGTAATTATGTCTTTAGAAAAGCTATTGCCTGGTAGCTGATTAGTAGGAACCCATTGATTTTTTTTTTCTTAACATTTTGAAAACATGGGTACTTCTTTTAAAACATAGTTTTCATAAATCAAATTTTGTTTAATTTCTGGTATAACATTTATAGGAGCATGCCACAGTTTCATAGTTTCCGTGATTTAAAGGTACATTGAAAATACTATTTTTAAGTGGAGCTTTTAGAGGTATGTGTATTAAATACCTTAGAAGTTCAACACAAATACCTTTATATTAGTAAGTTCTCAAAAGTTTTTTCATTGAGTAATTACTGTACATTCAATCAGATCCTGACTGGTCTGCCTCCTCAACTTTCCAGAATCTTCCTGGAGTTTTTGTTTCCACAGCCTCAGCTCTGGTTTAGGGCTTTTTATCTCCTGCACAGACTATTTCTACTTTTCAGATTGTCATCTGCTATTCTGGTCCTGTGTGCTTTAGCCTGTCCTTCAAACTTCTTCTCTTGAAACATTCTCCTAAAGTACAAATCTGATCATATCAATATCTCACTTTAAAAATGCAATCCAACAAACAAAAATCCTAGTGCCTTCACATTTCCCGTACTGCTTCTTAAAGTTTTCCTCAGGTTATCTGGCACCCACCTCCACACCTCTCCCCTGCTACCAGGAGCACTTTACCACTGAGCTATATCCCTGGCCCTTTTATTAAACTTTATCTTGAGACAGGTCTTACTAAATTGCCCAGGCTGGCCTTGAACTTGAACTTGTGATTCTCCTTCCTCATCCCCCCTACCCAAGTCACTGGGATTACAGGTGTGCACTCATCTTCAAATTGTTCTTAGAAGTTAAAAAAAAAAATAGTGGCTCTAAGTTAGACTATTAGAAGAGTGAAGTTGCTTTGAGGTTTTATGTTCTGTCTGAAAAATTCACATTCATTTGATGTTGTAATAGCATTGAATTCAACTTAAAACCAGTGATTTGACTTCTAATTTCTTTAAAAAAAACTTGATACTATTAGAAGATATACTGTATTTATATGACTTTACATATTTCTTTGTTAACTGGAGTACTTTGAAAGGTATGACAGGATAGAAATCTAAGATTCTTAGGTTTTATGTGATGGACCAAGTCACATTTGCAGTGTCATTTCTTATTAGTCCTGCACTTGATTCTGCTCCAGCTTTTCAAGCTATATAGTTCACATACTTCATGCTTCTGTGATTTGAATATTTACAGTAATGTCATTCAGTGTTGTGTTTTGTAATGTAATTATAGTGAAAAATTCATTGTGGTTGATATTTATAATTATAACAATTACTTATAGTGAATAATTTATACTTAATAATAATGTGTGATTACTGGTTCTTATTCAGAATAGCCACTATGTATAGATGGCAATGTGTCCATACTCTTTTTGTGACTAAATTTAGAACTTTGATTAGTTAAGGTAATGTCCTAATATATGTTTGTTGCTGCATTTCTAGAAATTGCCTATATTTTAACTTCTCATTCAAAAGCATTGTTATTGGGGTTTCAAAATGGAAAAAAAGACTGGGGATATATCAAGTGTTAGGCCCTGGGTTCAATCTCTAGCAAAACACACACAAATGGAGAAAATGGGCATTTTCTTTCTATTTTGTATTCACTCACTTAGTTTTTCTTATGTCTTGTGACACATGTTTTGTTTTTCATGTGTTATTTTAAAATATGAGTTTCAATTGTGAGTGCTTAGGGCCAAAATCCAGGATTTTGTCTTCTGATTTCTTCTGTTTATACTTATCCTCTTTTTGGTAAAGCCACTGACCTTTAGGGGA